CAGCACAGCCCCACGCTCAGCCTGTGGACCAAACTGAGATCACGTGTCCAAACACCCACTGAGCTATTCTGGGATCTGCTTCCTAGACTGCAGGCTGTGGGTGAGGAGGAAGCAAGCAAGCCCCAAGGACAGGGATCTTTGCTTTGTTTCCTCTGCAGTACTTTTAGACCATGGGGGTATGGGGTGGGGGCTGTGTGACAGGCCGCATATCGGGAGACATTCAGGAGCCACTCACAAAATAGAGAACACCCTTGGCCAGCATTCCCTCAGCAAATAAGTTCCTAGAAACACTGCCCAGGATGAAGCAGCAGGGGCGCCCATGACTGGCACCCATGGGCCTGCAAGTGTCCCAAGAGGCAGAGAAATGGCAGTCTCCCTGAAACACAATGGAGACAGGACAGTCTCCACTACACCCAATAGGATACATTCTGGTAGCTGCAGGTGACCTGGCAGAGGTGACAGGACAAGCGGAAGTTTCTCACTTGAAACTCACTGGAAACAACACTCCCTCCGCCTGACCATCAAGACAATGGCTCTTTCCCCCAGTCTATGGACCCACCCCTCCATGCCCCACCTGAAACAGGTTTTGTTGTATTATGCCAAGGACCAGAGCAGAGGATGGCTGTTCTAGCAGTTGGGGTCTTTGTTTATCCATTAACCTTGCCGACTCTCCTCTGAAGTGGGGCACTTTGGGGAAGGGGACATCAAGAAAGCATATGCCCCAGAGAAAACACCCTAAGTAAAGACTTTCTGAACTTCAAACCCAGACCCTCACTCTGTCACTTAGCAAAGCCTCGGGAGTCATCGGGCTTCTTGCATCTGACTCAAGGGGCCGCGAGACAAAGCTCCCTGGTCTCAATCAGAGAAGGGGAGAAGCACTAAGTCTCTTTGAGTCTTGTTCCAGCTTCATTCCTCCTCCCCACCAGCCCCTCCCTTTTAAAAAATTCACTGCACACCTAATTGCTTTCCTTATCACCTGCCCTGCCTTGATTCCTCTCCCTGGGAGGGGGAGAGGGGTAGGGTAATCTCTCCATTGAGAATTCCAGCCCTGGCTTCTCCATCCTACTCCCAGCGCCTCCCCTTCCCCCTGAGGCAGCTCTCCTATCCGGCCCTCCCCTTTTCACCCTCTTCCTCAGAAAGCCTCCATGAAATGCACTCCCAAAGTCTATTCCAATCCAGACACCCGAGAGGGCAGAGCAGAACTGCTCCAAGCTCTTGTGGTTAGCAACCACGGGTGGCCTCGTGGGCCAGGCGTTTGGCTGCTAACCACAACAGTCTGAGACCACCCACTAACTGCTCTATGGGAGGGAGACGTGGCTCTCTACCCTCATCAAGAGTCACAGTCCGGGAAACCTACAGGGTCAGCTCTACCCTGTCCTAGAGGGATCAACTCGATGGCAGTGAGTTGGGTTACTCGGATTTTGGGTGCCACCAGGGCTCCTCTTGTTCTCAAGCACAGGAAGTAGGAAAGAGAAGTCTTTGGCTTCACAGAGAGCTTCCCAAAGGGCATTTGGGCAGGCGATTTCACCATATAGAAACATCGATTATTTTCAACTTAAAAAAAAAAGCAAATGTCTATTTAGACAGCGTGAAGTAGTACATGGGCTTTCCCTTTGTGACCGGGGTTAAAAAAGTAATCATTTAAATACCACTGAACTAACAAGCCAAACACCTTGTCTGTATTTCAGGGGGTCAAGTGCTGCCGGTGCCAGTGATTAAGGGCAGCATTTGAGTAAGCTATCACTGGAAATCACCAAGTTCCAGAGGCCCACCTCCAATTCTCTAACCTTCTTACATTTACCCTTCAGTCATGGGTGCCATGCAAGACACAGGACTATGTGAACGAACCAGATGGACACAATCTTTACTGCTAAGACACGGCTTGGGGTGGGGAGTCAGCTATAACTAGCACACAAACGCACAAGATAAGTTCAGTTTCACAAATGGGAATTGTGAAAGGAAAGCCGATGTCCACATACCGAATGATGGTATCAGAAGCAGAGGGAGGTTGGGGATCCTGAGGTCAGCTTCACTGAGTAGAAGAAAGATTTGAGCTAAGACCTGACTGTCCACACACCAGTCATTCCAATTGATTAGAAATATCAGTATGCAAGCTCTTGTCTACAAGAGCTAGAAGTCCATTGTGCCACGGAGCCTGGCTAATAAACTGGCTACTTGTGTTCTTTCACTACACATAACTGTATGGAGACCTGTGGGAAACAGAAGGATTTCTCTCAAACTGTCTCCCCCAAACATATGCCAGACTTAGCTGCTTGAGAATGACTGTACACTTGGAGGTCATCAGGAGTGGATTGGGGGTCATTCTCCCTGAGAGTTATCAGCTATCTAGACCAAGTAGATACCACTGTTTATCCCACAACAAGTAGGGCCCACTCCCTTCTGATAAGGATAGTAGTTGTCTGTTTCCTTGTAGGAGACACCGAGAGGTCAAACCCGCCCAAGGATGACCAAGGTTAGGCTGCCATCATGAATCTAGGGCCCGCCCATCTTGTCACATGTATACCCCTAGACCTTCCCATTCCTATGGGCACACCCCTAGCTCATCCCCTTCCTGTCACGCTTATGCCTATCATACATCCCCTTCCTACAGTGTGTATGCCTATTGTACTGCCCCTTCCTGTGACTTGTGATTCTGTAATGAGGTCCCCTCAAGTGATATAATGCTGGGTTAGCAATAAAGAAGAGGCTCTTCCCAATTCCCGGAGCCCTCTCTGGCTCTCAGGCCAGGGGAGGCTCCCCAGTTCTCTGTCCCCGAGGCTGCTCCTGCTCTCCTGGCCGGGTTCCCCCAACGAGGACCATCAAGCGGGGCTGAGGTGAGCAATGCTACCATGAATTGTGTCTGACTCCATTTATTCCAATCTCTCCTCTAACTCTCATGCTCTCTATGACTTTACTATAATCCTTACTTATGGCTGTACAATTGCGCCTACCGGACCTGTGATGATTTGTGGGGTAACCCTCCCTCCCGCCTTCACCCCCACAGAGACCACATTATAAGCATATGGCTGGTTGGAGAGCAGGGCTGGTGAGTGGCAGGCTAGGCTGACTCAAGCCGAAAGCCAAACCCACTGCCATCAAGTCCATGCTGACGCACAGTGGCCCTATATATAGGACAGAGTAGAACTGCCCCGGACTAGATGTAGCCAATTAAGCAAATGGATGGGCCGGCAGGTGGATCAGATTAAAACCCAGTTAGCTACCCTTGGCAGTACTTTCCACTTCCCAGCTTGGTTGCCCGACTGGCGTTCTTGGGGTTTGACACCCCACTCCCCACCCCCTGCTGCAGATTACTTTACTAACCTCTTTGACGATGTGTAAGGCACTGACGTGAGAGCACGTGGCACCTCTTCTCATTCTCTGAAAGTTAACTTCTGCTGGAAAGATACCCTGTTGCTGTTTCCCAGCATCCTGCAAGCGTTCTTCTACCAGAGGCTCTAACATGCTCACCTCAGAAGGAAGGCACTAAGTCGTAGGGGTTCTTTTCAAGAAACAGGTAAGTCCAATTTCATGAAATGTTCAAGAGATTGGGAGGGGGGGGGGGGCTGTTTATGGCAAACCAAAACGCCAAGCTCACTGCCACTGAGCTGATTTCAACTCATAGTGGCCCTACAGGACAGAGTAGAACTGCCCCGTGTGGGCTTGAGACTAACTCTACTCAGGAGTAGGAAGCCTCCTCTTTCTCCTACGGAGCAACTACTGACCTTGTGGTTAGCCGCCTAGCCTGTAACTCACTAGCCGCCAGGGCTCCTTTTACCGCAAGCTGCCAACGCCTGTGGTCATGTCAATGCCGCCTCACAGCTACCTCATGTGTCAGAGCAGAGCTGTGCTCCGAGACAAGAAAGGACCCACAGCTGCCTGTTTACAATAACTACCACCACCAACTCCAACCAGGGATGGGCCAATCAAAGTAGTGCAAAACTTGCCCAGGTCTCTTTGGGCAACAAGCTGAGCATGTCTGAGCCTCTGTGGGGTGGGGTAGGGGTGGGGAGGAATTCAGGAAAAACACAGAATAGGGGGGCAACCAGGGTGTTGCCTACTGGACACAAACCCCTTTCTCCTGTCATCAGATCAGTCTGCAGGCCCCAGGGTTTTAAAATCAAGCATTAGCATCTCAAGTGACCTTGCCTTGGAGACAGTGTGTGGGCACTGCTT